CCACCTTCCACCTGCCCTTCTGTCCATCCCTGCATTCATCTGTCTATCCATCCATGCTGCGTCCATGCATTCATGCATGCCTCCATCCATTCATTCATCTTTCTATTTCTGCTATTACCCATCGGTCCTTGCAACCGACTATAATCTAGTTCCTCCGTTCCACCATTCAGTTCTTCTATAGATCCATTCTCTACTCACCCACCCATCCACCCAGCCATCCACCCACCCATCCATCCATCCATCCATCCTAGCAGCTATCTACCCATCCAGCTGTTATTTGCTGAGTCAGGAACTGAGATCACAGAGGGAGTAAGATACTGTCCCCATCCTTAACTCATAGTCTGGTAGATGAGAAAAATCATACGGAACAAGACATATACTGTGCTGTGATATTGACTTTGACTTTACCACCTAGACACATAAACTGTTATCTGAGCCCAGAGAGCAGTGTCTAATGGTGCCTGTGGAGGTCTGGGAAGGTTTCTCAGAGGAGATATTGAAGGAAGGTTTTGAAGGATGAGTAGGAGTTTGCTGGGTGGTTTGGAGAGTGGGAGGGGAGGTATAGGTCAGGGTTAGGGAAGGAAAAAGGGACTTCCAGGCAGAATGAACAGCAGTGAGGTTGGTGGGCTGTGTGGGTGCAGGTGAGTTCACTTTGTGGGGTCTGTGTGTATTGGTGAGGCCGAGAAAGGCAGCTGGGGCTCAGATGAGCAAAGGCCCCGTGGGTTGGCAAAGGGAAGCCATAGGACCCACTGATGCAAGAGAGAGACACATGTACGGGTTCAGTCTGACAGCAAAGGAGAGGGCAGTTCGGAGGGAACAAAGCCGCAGGCTAGTGGACCAGCCAGGGGCCCGTTTGCAGCAAGCAACCAGGCAACAAGGCTCAGGCCAGGCAGGGACAGTCGGGGACAGTCAGAGGCAATGGCAGAGGAGAGTCACAGGTGACTTGGGAGACATGGGATGGAAGAGAAACAATGGTGGGAAAATAGAGAGGAGTCTTTGATCTCGGTGTCGCTTGCGCGGGGTGCTCTGTGTGTGAAAAGTCGGTGGGCCATGTCCTCACGGCACACACCTCTGTGTATATGTGTTCCGCTTCTATTTCAAAATAGAGCGGGAAACACAAGGTCGGTATTAAAGTCTCTTCATCCGGGACACTGGGTCTCATCGAGGACACTGAAGTAGCTCTCAGGATTTTTCTTACAAATTGAGGGCTGGTTTCCCTCACACAGAGCAGCGTTGCTTTGTTTGGAAGAAAGAAGAAGATCTAAGTTTTGAGCTAGACCTTAGACAATGGGAGCACTTGGCGAGTAGTATCACATTTGCGGCCCTTGATTGAGCTCTTCCTATATTTCATGGATTTTATTTTATTGTTTATATTTTAAGGTCTCTGATACTAGGATGCATCATAGGAACAATGCCATGTCATGATTAACTACATTAGGCAGTAAAATAATGGTGTGATTATAGCCCGAAACTCTTTTTTTGAGAGAGAGAGGGTGCCAGTGAGCAAGGGACAGAGAGAGAATACTATGAGGGGGGGAGAGAGAGAGAGAGAGGGAGGGAGGGAGGGAGAGAGAGAGAGAAGCTGGGCTCACCCAAAGCAGGGCTCGTGCTCACCTGAAGTGGGGCTTGAGCTCACCCGATGTGGGACTTGAACTCATGAACCATGAGATCACGACCTGAGCCAAAGTCTAAGTCTAAGTCTAAGTCTAAGGTCTAAGTCTAAGTCTAAGTCTAAGTCTAAGTCTAAGATCTAAGCCAAAAACCTTAAGCATTTGCTAAAGGACTGAGCCACCCACACTCCCTGATGAGTCTTAATTCAAGAAATAGGGTGGTGGGTGCCGGGATCCCTGGTGTCCTGTGGGTACATTTCTCATGTAATCCTCACAACATCGTGTGAGGGATCAGTTATTAGCTGTTTCCAGATGAGGAGTTGTGGCCTGAAGTGGGGTGGTCACATGCTCAAGGTGACAGAGCTAGTCAGAAGTGGACTCAGGATTGCAAGCATCTTTGATCAAAGTAAGAGCCAGTCTGGGGCCGGGAGGGTGGTGGCTTTTTCTTCCCATAGCCTGAGGCAGCCAGGTCAGCGGCAAGCACCGTATCCCAGCTGTCAACGCAGCCTCTTGTCACCCAGGCCCGTCCCGCTCTTGGCCCTAAACCCTGGGATTCTTTCCCTCTGTCCCAAGAGGGCTCCCACTCTGACATCTGTGGTGACCCGCCCCCCCAACTCTCCCATGGAGCGGGGCGGGGGGGGGGGATGGAATGAGATCTCAGGGGAAGGGGGGGAAGAAATTCCGAGCCCAGCTGGTTTCCTTCACATAATGCAGATTTGCTTAAATGGGAATTAGGATTAGTGCTGGGTTTTGCCTTTGCTGGCAGACTGGTAATAAGCTAATCTCCGCTCAGCCTGCAGGAAGGCAGAATTCCATTGAAGACAGGAGACAGCTTCGGGCTCAGGAGTGCAAAACCTTGAAAGTAATTTTATTATTGACAGGCCGTGCCCATGCCGCCTGACACGCCGCCCGCAGCTCCTTCCCGAAGTGGCTGCAGCCTTTAATTTTGTTAATGTGTGACATTCACCCAGGCTGCGTGGCTGATGGGCACGCTTGACATTAATACGCGTTCCCTGTGGTCCCCAGAGCTCATAAAAGCTCATTATCAGTTCTGAGCCTGTAAATGTAGTTCCTGGCTCAGGTGGGCACGACTTCCTCAGACGCGTCCCCAGGCAGTGGCTCAGAGACCATCTGTGGGAGCCAGGAGATAAATTCCTCCCTTCGTCCAGGGTGCTTGGCCTCCCAGGGCCCTGGGAGGTGATCGCAAAAGAAACTCCACAGGCAGAAGAACGCTGGGTTCCAGGAAAGGGAGTTCTGGGGCTCCTGGGTGGCTCAGTCAGTTAAGCGTCCGACTTCGGCTCAGGGAATGATCTCACAGTCCCTGAGTTCAAGCCCCGCGTTGGGCTCTGTGCTGGCAGCTCAGAGCCTGGAGCCTGCTTTGGATTCTGTGTCTTTTCTTCTCTCTGCCCCTCCCCTGCTCATGCTGTCTCTCTCTCTCTTTGTCTCTCTCAAAAATAATGAGTAGAGATTGAAAAAAAATAGTAAAAAAAGAAAAAAAAGGAGTTCTTTCTGCCCTGCTATTGGAGTGGAGGGGAATTGATCCAATGTTTGGGGAAGGCGGTTTGTTAGAATCTGTTCAAAATGTGGCGACGTGCAGAGCCCCTGCCTGGCAACCCCATGTCCGGGCATCCGGGCTGTAGACTTGCACAAACATTCCCACACCGATGGAAGCAGGCAGGCAACAAGCTTGCAACGGCTGGAAATGGAAACGTACCTCCGTATGGAAGGTGGAGGAGGTACACGAGTTATGGTCCGCACCTGCTATGAGACCCTGAGCAGCCGTGAAGAAGACTCGGGAAAATCTAGATATCCTCAGAGCCCTAGGTAGATGTGAAGTACTGCTGGCCTGGGGTGTAAAACACGGGTGGTAAGGTCCTGGCTGTGCAGAAAGTCACGCTGTCTGCGTGGGGGCCCCCATGGGCGTGTGCTCACACACACCTGCTATTACATGGGGTAAAGCCTACAAGGTCATGTTACAGACGTTTTGCAATCCATCCATCCGTTAAGTACAATGGGTGAATAAGGAAGAACTTCCACTTTCGTCATTACAAGTGAAAATGACGTGCATATACCTCCGTATCCCCCCCCATATGTCTGTGTCTGTGCATGTATATGTGCACATGTATGTATACATAGCATGGATTCCTTCGATTGTAGCCTTGATCTGGTCCGTGATACCTGAGGTTCCCTGGGCTGACTCTGCCTGGGTGGACGTCTGAGGCCAAGGTAGCCAAATGAGGTCCCATCCTCCGGCCATGCCCTGCTGCCCATTGGTTCGCAGGGAATCTGGGACCCTCATCCTCTCATGGCACGTGTGTGCAGCTGCGGCCTGTGGAGTAGACCCAGGACTCACTGCTCTCCTGCCCATGCCTCTCCCACGGTGCCAGCTTTGACCTCCCGTGGACCTGACCTCTAGTCCTGGCTCTGCTCCATTTTACCCTTACAACCTTAGCCACGTTATCTGACTCCTCTGGGTTCATGGCGCTCCCCCCCAAAGTGGGGATACTGAGCTGTGGGGTTGTAGAGGGGATCGGAATTGCTGTCGTCATCAGCCGAGACAACACAAAATTTGACCAGGCCTTCACTGTGCGGGCCGGTCCTCGAGGGAGGTTTGGGGGTCGGGGACTCGGCCATCCCGTCTCTGCTGTAAGTTTTGCTCTTTGTTTCTCAGCTGTGCATGTGAACAAGCCGCCCCCCCCCCCCCCCCCCCCCCCCCCCCCCCCCCCCAGGGGACTGGCCTCAGCCTTGGCTGGCAGGTATGTGGCCTGCACATGGGCGAATCTGATCCTTCTCCCGTGACCCGGGGACTCTGCGTCAGGCTGACAGAGGACGTGGGGGAGAGGCCGGGCCTCTGCTGCACGTGCGGGCTGAGCTGTCTTCTTCTCCTCCCGGAGGCCTATCCTCTTACGTATCTCCGTGGCTCCCAGATCTTGAAAGTATCGCCGTGCCCCAAAAACGCCTGCCTTCATTAAGCAGTGATTAATTTTCGTTCACATTTTTAAAATTACTCAGAAAGCCTTTCTCTCCCTCCCCTGCCCGAGGAAAATGGAGTTTCCACAGCACACCAGGACTGTCCTAGCTGGAGCAAGGACATGGGATGCGACGCGTGATTAGCACACGTGTTGTCGTCACAGGCACGCCGTCCGGGCTCCTGGGCTCAGTCTGGAGTGCCGAGAATGGGCTCCCATCGGTAGGCTCTGGGGACGCTGACCCGGAGGCCTCTGTGGGCCCAGTTCTGTCTGTCTGGCCGCAGATACCCGTCTGGCTTCTGCACCTGCAGACAAGAGCGGGAACCCCAAGGAGGGTGCACACCTGACCCGAGGCCGCCCCCGGCAGCCACATGCCCCACGAGCCACTGCCTTTTTAAACTACGTCTCTCTCTTCTTCTAGACTTTATCCTGAAGCCATCAGAGAGAGGTCTCAAGAGAATCCTGACCCTCCCGGAAGGAGCAGACACCAACTGGAAGAGGTATGGTTTGTCAACACGGTGGCATCTTCTTGTAATACGGGCCTGATCTTCTCTTCTCTGCTCTTCCCACCCCGCAAACCCTCCCCTGCTAAGTGAGAGAGCTTTCCGCTGCTGCTGGGGGACAGGGCAAGCGAAGGGTGGCTTCCCTCTTGTCCCCACCCCAGAGATTTTTCTGGGTTGGGGAGTACACCTGAAGCTCACGTGAGGGGAGAGAGGCGGGTGCTGAGGTGGGGTCTCACGCACTGTGGTTGCTCCTCAGGGTTGGCTCCGGAAGTGAGGGCTGGAACGTGGGAGGCAGTGAGTCCTCCAAGGGGAGGCACCGTGGTCCTGGGATTGTGAGAAGGAAGAACTTTCTAGGATGATTCCTTCATTCCCTCCATCCATCTCAGGACTCTAGGGCACACTTCACCTTCCAGGAGGGAGCTGAGAATGAAAGGGTCTTGGTCCGTTTCCTGGTTTCTGGGAGCTTCTTGGGCTGCCCGCTGTCCCAGAACTGCTGACCGGCCAGGCAGCCTCATGGAAGGTTCCTGAATGAAGAGTCAGGACATCTGTCCTCTGGGCCAGTCTGTGCCGCCATTGTGCCTCAAGAGTCCTTATAAGCCATTTCTTTCATGGGGCCTCGTTTTCTCGCCAGTAAAATGGGCAGAACTCTGTTCCAGCCCTCATGGCCTCAGTTTCTGAGGCTCCCAGCCCAGAGGTGCAGCCGAGGAAGTGATGGGTGTGGTGAGGCAGCAGGGAGGCAGAGAGGGAGTTGGGGGTTGGGAAGGCCGTGGGGAGGAAGGGCATTGGGAAGCTCCGAGGAGGTCTGACTGCCAGTCTTGGCCAAAGGATGCCTCAGACCCTCAGTGGAAAGACCACAGAGCCTGAGGCGCAAATGGATTGAGTTTGGGCCCCGGCTGATCTGAAGCGTCGGCCCAACAGACACTGACTGAGACACTGCCAGGCGCTGCGCTCGGCACCGGCATTCAGTCCTCTCAGTGGCTCTGTGGTCTCGGCACTAAGCTCACTTCCTTCTCAGAGAGGAGAGAACTGGGCCTCAGAGACGCTAAGTGACTTGCTCAAAGTCACACAGCAGCGAGCGAGCTATGGCTGAGATTTGAAGCCCTCTTTGAATACACTTCAACATACAATTCTTGCATGTTTTCCTTTGAGTGACTCTGTGACTTGAATCTTAAGGTTAACAAAATCCCTTAAGTCAGATCACCTCTGGAAATTACATTTCTTGAAAGGACATAAGCATGATTGCTTTCCTTAGCCTAGGTTTTTTTTTTTTTTTTTTTTTGCTTTTAAACTTGGGGCACATCATGAAATCTCTGCAGGTCCTGGTTCTTGGATTTTTGGGAGCATAACGTCTATTGCTGGGGTGGTTCTGGGGAGAAGACAAGATGAGGGAGGCACAGAAACCTCCCCTACACACCCTTCCCCCTGCATGGCACCCGGAAGCTGCAGCACACTTTGGATGCTGCATGCAGCAGCCGTGGCCTGGCGTTTGCAATTCCAGCTGCCTTGGGTGCTGAGGTTGGGAAGTCCTCGGCCACTTTCCTAGTCCCTGATCTGACACTCCCCTGGTGCCTGAGCTCATTGGATCACTTCTGGAGCGAGTCGCCGGCTGGCCGGGGTGTTTCAGGCCGGAATCCAAGGCCGGGCGGCTGGCTCCCAGAGGCAGATAAAGTGAGGCCAGGTGGAGGAGCGGGAGTCCCGTGTGCCTTGCTTGCGGCTCACCCCGTCCTGCCAGCTGCCTGGACCATAATCTCAGCTGTGGGCCTCCTGGCAGCAGCCCCCACCCCCCCCGCCACAGGAAACCATTGCCTTATCTCACAGCCAGGATCCCCGCCTGCTTTTCTTAATCAGGAGAAGGCGCTGAAGCGAGTTGGAAAAAAGCTTAACTTCCCCAGGACCTTTCTGCTAGGGGTGTTTCTCCATCAGGGGAAGCCGTGGGGCTCCGCGTATGAGAGGAAAGAATCTCTTTAAGTACAGAGAAAAGCAGCGAGGGTGCTTTTGTTCTTGGTTTGCCTGCAGGAAGTGTGCAAGGGAGCAGAGCGATTTAGCTTTGCCCCCCTTTGTTTGCTGGGAAACAGACACACGTTGCAGAGTCACAGGGAAAATAGGAAGATGGCCATAAGCGACGAGCAGACAGGCGTGTGCTGCCGTGAGAAGTGTCTGCGGGGCTTGGGGCTGGACCGACGGAGGCTGGGTCCCAGCTCCGCTCTCCTGCAGCTGTTTGACTTAGGGTGAGGGGTTTTGCTTCCAGAGTCTCAGTTTTCTCATCTATAAAATGGGCAAACAGCATGCCCGTTTTAATTTAATTTAAAATGGGCAAATAGCATGCCCAGGAAACTTCCAGTGGGATGCCCCTGCTCGCTTTGAACAGCAGAATCCCGCTGGGGTGCTGTGGCCTTCCAAGGTGACCCCTTTGAAGAGGCTTGGGCTCTGGGGATGGAAGAGCCGGGTGTTGGAGACCAAACAACGAGCTTACCCTGCAGACACATACCTCTTTCTGCACGTGGTCTAAAAAAGGGCCAAGAATGGGGCCTGGCTTGTGTCAGCTCTCTGTTCTGACACCCTGGGGTGTGGGGCCACCTTGGGTGTGAACAGTTCTTCCTGATCCTTTTTCCCTGGGTTTACACTTCCCTCCCGGTGACATTTACTGGACCCTTTCTGTAGATAATCGCCGATCCCTGCTGTGCCCCGAGAGGCAGATATTCACAAGCTTCCTATAGGTGAGGGGAGCTGGGATGCAGAGGAGTTTTAAATTGCTCCAGGTTTCAAGTCTTAAAAGCAGTCAGATTAGGACCTGAGCGTGGGCTCCTGCCCCAAGCGTGGCGTGTTGGCCGCAGCACCCACAGCGCCCCCAAAGGCACCCCACGCGGCACCCTTGCACACCTACAGAGGTCTACAGCCACCCCCACAGCACTGCCATGGCTTCCCAAGGCGCTAATGCCAGCACGCGTGCAATGGTACTCACAGCGCCCATGCGGCACCCTGCGCGACTCCCAGCATCTCCCCGGGGCGCCCATGGTGGTCCTCCTGCATTCTCCGCCCGGCCTCGCGCAGGGGTCAGAGCTCAGGGAGAACGCAAAGCCTGCCGTGTTTTTAATCCACGCAGCCAGCCTCTGCAGCAGGACAGCGAGCCAGCGAGGGCCACTGCTAGGAAGCATGGGGACCTTCCTCCTGCTGCGATCCGAGAGCGGGAAGCAGGAGGCAGGCCGGGGGTCACAGAAGCCTGCCTTCCCCAGGGGAACCTGTGCCTGGGCTCCGGCTTATCTGCTTTTCCTTTGGTGCCTGTGCTTTTGGTGTCATACCGAAAAATCCAATGCCAAAGGCCATGAAGACTCACCCCTGAGTTTTCTTCTAGGGGTTGTATGGTTTTAGCTCTGACACTTAACCACTGATCCATTTTGAGTTAACCCTGGGATAGAGTGTGAGGTAGGGGTGCACCTCCATTCTTTGACATGTGATTATCCAGTTTTCCCAGTATCACTTGTTGAGATGATTATTCTTTCCCCATCGAATAGTCTCTGCACTCTTCTTGAAAACCATTTTGCCGCAGATTTATGGGTTTGTTTCTCTCAGTTCTCTTCCATTGCTCACCGCATCTGTCCTTGAGCCAGTACCATGCTGTTTTGATGACTGTAACTTTTTTTTTAAGTTTATTTATTTATTTTGAGAAAGAGCATGAGTGGAGGAGGGGCAGAGAGCATGGAAGAGAGGGAACCCCAAGCAGGCTCTGGGCTGTCAGCACAGAGCCTGACGCGGGACTCGATCTCACGAATCATGAGATCATGACTTGAGCTGAGGCCAAGAATCGCATGCCTAACTGACTGAGCCACCCGGGCACCTGATTACTCTACATTTATGTACTTTCTACTTTCAGAGAAGTCATAGTATGTTCTAAGCGCCCTGGTGATTCTAACGTATATCTAATGTCCCTAGTTTTTAGAGGAAGATGAGGCGCAGTTAGGGAGGCCGGAGGCTGGCAGAATGAGGTAGGGCAGTGGGGGGTGGTGAGGATGTGGTCTGGAAGCAGAGCCATGGTTATCAGGGGGGAAAGAGGTCATGATGGAATTGAGAGAAGTTACTAAGAGAACTTCCCAAGTGGTCCGGGTGAGCTCTGTTAGCCCCCTCTGGACCCACAGGGTGATTTGGGGGGAAGATCTGGGTCCTAGTCAGAGCTCTGCTCCACTGTGACCTTGGGCAGGTTGCTTGTCCACACGAACCCTCTATAAGGAGGGTCAGTGTCCCCTGCCGTGAGCGAGGGTCTGCAGGTCAGCTCTGCAATGGCTAGCAGGGGCTTACAGGCACCTCAGTGCCTGGCACAGTCTCCACGCTAGCGTTCCTACCAAGCGGTCCTGAGTATCTGCCCTGCTGGCCCCGGGGAGGTGGGCACACAGCCTCCAGGGCGGCCTTGGTGGCCTCGGGCTGCCCTGGGCCGGCTGCGATGGGTGGGAGCGGCGTCCTCTGCAGAGCGGGAATGTGTTTTCTCGTACCCTCCATCTGCTTGCCCCACGTCTGCTCTGTGGGCCTGCAGAGAGGAAGCTTCACCCCCTTCCCTCCAGGCTGCTGTCCCACGTCACCGTGTCCCACGTCACACATGTGTCCCACGTCACACCTTCCTTCTGCTGCCGGGAGGCCGTAGCTGCCTCTGCCTCACTCTGAGGATGCAGGTCTCAGTGCACTCGTGGCTTCCTCTTCTCTTGACCGTCCTCAGGGCCTCTAGCCCGAACTTGGCACAGTTCAAGGCCAGAGCTCGGGCCGTGTTCTGAGTCCACCCAAGGTAGGCAGCGCCCTCACCTCCCTGAGTCCAGCCCTTTTATTTCTTTTCCTGCAGCAGAGATGGCATGGGGTCCAATGATTTCCGCATCCCACCTGGATTGAAGCTCCTGTCTTTTCATTGACCAGGTAGAAAAGAGATTCGCTCTTGATGTATACATCACATTTTCCATCTGGTGTTGATAAATCATGGTGCAGTTTAATGCCGGAGGGAGAGCATAGCTTTGGCA